TCATCAAACACTCAAGTGCATATAAAGACTTTACTATAACAATAGCTCTATTCCTTTCTCTAACCATCCCAAATGGGAGATACCCTCCTCACATGCTATAAATCCTGCCAAGGAATAACACTTCTAAAAGGTTTACTCAAAACCTTCCAACCTCATCTCAACTACATCTTCTCATCACATATCAACACTTCTCTTAAATGAAGTGTATTCAATCACCACACATGGATAATTAATCTCAATTTCATAGCATATAACATGCATACATAATTGCTATTAAATCTCTACTCAGAAAGTTCTCAAATCTCAACTTGGGTAGGATTTACTTACCTGTAATGGAGAACTCTCACTAGTATTTTCTTTCCTTTGCTTGCTTGACTTTTCTCTACCCTTTAACAATAAAACCATACCCTTTTAATATACAAATTACCAAAACCTCACATCCAAAGCAAGAATCCTTACCTTAGGATGCCTTAGCTTGATTTTCTACCCCAATCACTCCAAAAAGCCCTCTAAAAATCCTTGAACTAATGAAAGAGGAGTTGAGAGGAAGTAGGAAAGGAGAATGGCGGTGGAGAAGAAGAATGAAAGGTTTGCAATGACTTAAATCCTTTTAACACAACTTATCGGCAAGCATTCCCATATTGCCCTTACTCTTCCTTAGGAATTCCATATATATCCTTTAATTCATCACAATCACAACCCCATACCAACATATTTTCCATAAAATTTCCTTACATTTTACTCCCCACTTTTCCCACTAATTAGGGGTAGAATGGTCAAATTGCCCTTAGAGAAGAAAATATCTAAACTTCCATAAGTTTTTCAGCTGACCCGTCGCCGCCGCGAAGACAATTCCTTCGCCGCGGTGGAACACTCCAGCAACTCACCGCGGGCCAAAACACCTCTTCGCTGCGGCGAAGCTTCTTCTTCACCCTGGCGAGGCTTGTAACCCTAAAATTTTGCCAATTCTTCATAATTTCCAGGGCAAACACTTAACCAAACCAATATCTCCATTCAACTAAGGGCTAACCAAACAATGCTAATAATAAACCGACTCAAATAAGAGCAAAATAAGAAACATTAGCTACATACCTCAAGTGGGGCGCTACAGTCTTGATTACCCTTTTGAAAAAATCTTATGTGTTCCTCTATGTTTCTCTTAGCTCAAACATTCAGTTTTCAAAAGAATTGCTATGGTTCTTTTGGTATTCGTTACACCTTCATCACATTGCCATCTAGTTTCTTGGTCATCATATGATCAAAACCATTTCTCCGTATCGGTTATCTCCAACCTCAGACTTAACTCCTCTGATGACATTCCTCTAATGGTTCAAGCCTTTCGAAAAATGGAAAACAATTTTTCTTCACCAAATTGGCAGATACAAATGCCTTGTTTCTCAAAAAAATAGTGTGGTCCATTATGTTCTTTCACAGACACCATTTTATTCAGAAAGATGACTTATGCTATCTAAGCATCACACGGAGTTTCATAGGTCTTACATGTATGATTTGGTTCACAATATGTTTGATCATCCTATTGTAGTCAGATATATCCAGAAATGTCTTTTTTAGAAAAATCAAATTATTCCAGATGAATTATGGCCTTCGTTCTTTAGTTCAGCTCCATGGGAATGTTTTCCATCATAATACACTCAACAGTTACTTCAAGCCAAACTAACATGTATTGACTCACTCATGACTTAGGTAGCATCTACCCCAGACATTTCAAAATTTTATGATTATCCAAAATGGTGGTATCCAGACTCTTAGCTAAACTCTTCCTAAGAGCACGAACTCCAACAAGCACGTAAACATTATTCACGAAAGTCCAAGAAAAGACATCACATTCATCCATTAAGCACTTCAGACACAAGGCCAGTTTAACCTCTAAACAATTATCCAAACTGTCATGACTGTTATCTTGACATACCGACCTCAGAAATCTCGACAGATTTTATCCAAGCGATGGGATGTCTTGACTTTTGTGATGAAAATCCTGGCATAATGCAAATTTAGCAGATGAGTAATGTCTAACCTCCGTGTTAGAATATAAGAGTTTGTCACGTTTGCAATACCATATCACTTTAGTCAACAATGGTGTGCCGTGTATCATTAAGTCAACAATGGTGTGCACTAGTATGAAAAAGATGTAATAACATGTTTTTTTGTTTTATTTGTCAATTTAGGATGTAACTTTGGCATATTTGTCAAAGATGCGTCACATTTGTTTAGTGTCTCACGTGAAAAACCTTTGTCCTTTCTACTCTTGGCATTTACTATAAATAAGATCAATCCTTCTCGATGAGAGGAGGAGAATGAAAGCTTTTTAAACATTTCCCTTATGTTTCTTCTAAATCCTTAAACTTCTTCTCCAACCTCAAAGATGTGTTAGTTCTTTGTATATAGCAGGAATAGTAAAGAGTACCATATTGTTTTAAAAACTACAAGTTAGTATGCTCTTTCATTGCCACTATCAATCCAAGTCAATCCTACAACACCAACCTTGTGGTGGTTTCTCAACTTGGCTAAAGGTCTTGGAGGCCTCGTAGCATCACTGCAAGCCGAAATTAGCCCCACAACATCGCTAAAGGTCAAAATTGACCTCACAACGCTTCTAGAGGTTGGTTCCAACATTTGGCAACATAGTTTGAGGCTAGATTTGTGTCATGGCGACAACCAAGTCCACATTTGACCTCATGGCAATATTAAAGGCCATATCCAACCTCTGATGTTGTTGAGAGCCTAATGGTATAGTGGTGATTCAACAAAGAAGGGAAATGGAGAAAAGAGAAAAAGAAAAAATACGAGGAAGGAAAAAATTACTTTGAGTTAACCAAAAACTCAAAAAATACCATTCCAGAAAATGGAAATATCAAATATACCTACCCATTGTTAATTTTAATGGGAAAAAACTATAGAAATGAGGGCTAAGGTGTCGTTTCAAAAATAGTGGGGATCATTGTAATTAAACGGGCTTGACGGAAAACTTAATATTCTAACATTTGTCTTTCCTCAAAAGCAATGTTCTGAAACCCAGATCGGACCGAACGGTCCAACCGGTCCAACCAGGTTTCGTCAATGATTTCGGTTTATTAAATGTTAAAAACCGGTATTTTCATTTAAACCGCTTCCGACCGTTATTAGACCATTGAATAGTGTTAGACCGCTTGTTCAACCGGATCATATGAAAATCCGGTCCAACAGATGTGATTGTTTTAAAAGGCAAAATCTATGCCTTTTTTGCTTCAGCCTTCGTTTCTTTAATCTTTTATTTGTTTCTTCGTCTTTCTCCGACTTCCAATCCAACTTCATTCATCTTCTCTTCCATCTCTATTCATCTTTAGTTAGATTCGAGATTAGAAAGTGAAAGAAAATAAAGATAAAGGAGAAGATCTAAGAAGCAAAAGAAGAAAGAGAAGAGAACGGAGAGAAAGAAAAAACAAAAAAAATGAAGAAGAAGACCTGAAGATGCAGAAGAAGAAAGGGAAGAGGAGGTGAGAAAAGAGAGAATACAAAACAAGTGAAGAAGAAAGAGAAAGAGAGGGGAAAAAATGATGAAGTAGAGAAGAAAAAAGAGAGGTGATGTGACGTACTGACATGTGAGAAGTATAAAGAAGAAAGAAACGACGGAAAGAAAGAGAGTGGAAAAAAAAATATAAAGGACTAAAGGAGAAAAGAAGAGAGAGAGAGAGAAGATGAAATGACATATTGACATGTGAGAAAAAAAAAAAATATATATATATATATATATCTATATATATCTATATATATATATATATATATATATATATTTGATGACATTATTAGTTTGATCCGTCAGCCAGACCGGTTAAACCGTTCAACAAAAATCGTCACTTGACTGTTCATCTTCGGGTCCGATTTTAGAACTTGCTCAAGTAAAAATAAGAAGAATGAGATTCTACATTCTAACATACATGCACCTCACGATAGAACAAGTTCAGAGGTCCGGCCACTAGGGCCGTCTCTAGAACATTTATGACCCTAGACAGAAGTTCTTTTGAGGCCCTCTAATAATATAAGCAATATTTTATTATTATTATATTTATTATTATTTTTTTTGCCTTTTGGATGAAAAATCACTAGGAGAGGTGGACAACAATCGACAGGCTAACAAGGTTAGGTTGGTGGAGGGGTTTGGGAGAGTAATATTGGAGAAGTATGGGTGATTTCCAATGCCAGATTGATAAGAAAAGGCTTGAGAAGTCACAGCCCAAAGGTATCAATGGCCGCGATTGGCAGAGTAACGATAAGTGTATGATAGGGGTTTTGGTGAGAGGGCTGAGGGGAGGAAGATGGTGGTGTCGGAGCCACAATCTAGGTCCATCCAAAAGCTTGAAATGGCTGTCGTGAGGTGGAGTTGGGTTGCGAGATTCATCAAAAATTAGTCAAATTGAGGGCTATCAGGTTGGGAAATGAAAATGATGATTTCGGTTGATTTTGGTGAGAAAATTGACCGAAAACCAAATTGACCGAAATCAACTCCAAACCACTAGTTGCAGAAGAGGTTGGAGATGATTTATGTGAATGCAAATTTTGGGATTAAATTGGGGGTGAGTAATTTGAGATATGTATTACTATTTTAATCTTCCATTGTTAAAAGAGATTCAATGTGTTAATTTAAGGGTATAAACTAAGATATATAAATAGAGGTATAAACTTGCTATTTTGTTAAACTTTGAGTGGAGATTATGTAAAAGTTTATGATAAATTTGGGTTTTTTTAACTTTTTTTTTTTTGGACCCCTTGGCTTAGATAGAAAATTATAAGCCATTTTCATTTTTGTAGATATTTAAAAAAAAAAAAAAATTTATAAAAAATTGGGCCCCCATTTTTTTGGGGCCTAGGCAGGTGCCTCACCGCCACCCCTTAACCGGCCCTGCCGGCCACGTGTTAGATTATTTTTCATCGTATCATCAGATACCGTTTATAGCCTTTCTTATCTCCGTCTCCGTCTCCGTCTCCGTCTCCGATCACTCGATCTCTCTGCATCCTTGAAAGTTTTCTTTTAATTTCTTTTTTGAGGTATATTTCTGTTGCTGATTATCTCTATTCTTTTATTTCTCTATAAGTTGATTGTACAGATCTTTGATAATTGAATCGAAACACACAAGTTCATTGGAGATTGATTTTAATTTTTTAATTTAAATAAAAAGTCAACTATTTGATTGATTATATTTCAGTTTTTTTTTTTTTCGTTAATATGCAGCTTAGTTCATTAATTTTTGATTAATAATTTCTGAGAATTGATTGTGTGTTGTTTAAATTAGGTTAACTGGAGATTTCTTGAAACATGTTTGAGAAGAGAAGTGGTAGAATAAGGCCCTTCAGGGAAGCTCCATCATTGGTAGATCTTTGTGTTAAGATTGCTATAGATAATGTAAGATATATTGGAGATGTTGGTGAAACTGATTTACATTTGCTCAAGCGCATTTTGCCACATTGTACAAAGGATCAGTTGATTCATGTGGAGGATAGTACAGTAGTAAGATGGATTACTAATGAATTCTGTGATGTTATATTTTGGGTTAGGGTTTTGCTGGAGCCTGGAGGCTTATACTATGTGAAATTTTGTAGGGAAGAGATCTTAGTCCAGTTACAGATGTGCTTTGGATGCAGTTCTACAAGAAAGATTTTGGTGAGAAGAGCTTCAATATTGTAGTTGAGAGGATGAAGGAGAACAAAGTGACATTTGGATGGAAACAATTGTATGAGGTAATTTCTTGTTCTATAAAAATGGGAAATATTAAATGTAAATAGAACTGCAATTCTATTTCTTTGCATCCTTTATTGCTGCAGAGGCATTTCCATCTCTATGCTTGAATGCTTCTGACCCACCCTGCAGCAAAAGAAAAGTTATTTCTTTACTTCAAATTGACCTGGGACATTTGACAATAATATATTTTTTTTCTTTTTTTTATAGATTGGTTTTTGTTCTTGATCAGGAAATGGTAATGTTACCTATTTCAAGATATGCCCCATCTCTTACACACGGCTGATCTGATCTGGGATGATTTTCGTTTATTTGCAGGCAAAGACAAAAGATGTAAGCGAGGCCGAGATGAAAGCAGTTAATCGTCTAAAGCAATTATATCAAACTGCAGATGCTCGTATGTCCTTAATCATCTGAATACATATTAAAAGTTGCATGGATGAAACTTGCTGTTAATTCTATTTCACCTTGTGCATCTACTTGCTATAATGAATTAGGTGGAGTGATGTTGTTATCACAGTTCTGTTTTGTATTGGCTTGGAAATTGTATTTTGCAATGATAAAGTTTCTGACTACCAAACAATAAATGATTGTCACATTTTGAGTGGTCAGTGATGATGCAAGACTTTAGAAAGGTTGGGACTATGTCAGGATGACTCTCCCTTGACAGAGTCAAGGGAACTAAGATCTGGTAATGGCCTTTGGTTGCAACTGTATATGTTTCCATCTGCGTACCATGCGCTTGCAAAATTAAGATGGTTTAGGTGTGTAGAGCCATGTAGCATGTATCTTAACTTTTCATTTTGTTGTAAAAACTGAAAATTCTCTTTCATTAGTAAATTGTTTGGTATTCTAATTAATATGTGCAAAGTAAGCCTGCACTAAAATTCAGATCGATCAAAGTTATTCTTCAGTTTTGGAAAAACATTTTGGGGCACCATTTTACGCCAGTATATTTTTGGCTATTTTATTCATACTGAAATCTAGAAACTTTTATTCAAGAGTGCAAACACTGTCTTTTTGTGAAATATTAGAGTCATGCAGCGAAAGCATTGTACTATAGCAAAAAGTGTAGTCTTTGACTCAATTAAAAACTGGTCTAGTTGTCTATCCAAATCTCAGGTCATGAAAAATATCCAACAAACTCTGATTCAGGGTATTTACAAACTGTTTAAATTGTGTTAGGGTTTGAACTAAGCATGCTTAGACCTCCACATAGAACAAGTATTTGTTTGCTGTTAAGCTGATTAATATGTGTTAGTTAAGTTGTACGGTTGAATTTAAAGGGAGAAAGAAATAGATATTTTGTATGGCCAAAAAAACATTGATTCCAAGAGCGTAGTTCACATTTGATGATTTTTGTCATATAATAAAGTAAATTTTCTTAATATGACTGGGGATTGTTATAGAGGATCTGTATATTCCTTTTCCCAGGTTGTTTGGTGAAGTAACAGTCTTATATGTCTCTGCAAAGACTAGCATGTATTTGGTGGGGTTTGGGCTTCTTTTCGCTGGAGTAAAATTTTGTGCATCTAAATTAGTAAAGTGATTTTGTTGTGTTGATGTCATACGTTGCCTACTCCTACCTGTATTATATTATAGCTGGGGCTATGGAAGAAAGAAGAAATATTGTCTTGGCATGTATGGACTATTATTTTCCAATCACATTCCCTGGACTATATCTCGATAAGTTATACTATCCTTGCTTTTTGAATGAAATATTAATTTTATGATTCTGGAAGTTATGATCCAGTGAAGAGTAATGGTACATATATTCAAAGTTCTTACCTAGTGCTTAATTTTTGTAGGAAAACAAAGTCGGAAAATTCAGATTTGCACAAAGGTTCCACCTTCAAGCAATAAAAGAAGCTTTGGTAACTTTGTTATTCTGCTGTGGTTGGTTCTCTTGTAATTGTATATGTTCCTGTGCCCGTTTACTGGAATTGAGGGACCCTATAGAACCTAGTGCAGGCTGACACAGGCTTTATGGATTTGTGTCTCCTTTTTAACTTAATTTACTTGTGGTAATTATTTGTAGGCAGTGCATATAACCTTTCTGGTACAAAGAGCAACTTGATGAAGAAGGCAAAATTAGATCTCCTTAAAAGGTAAATTATGTCAGCCTGGTGTATGCATGAATGGGTTTAAAAATATTTTAACTGTTGTTTTTACTGCAGATTCTGATAAATGATTTTATCTTTTGAGCCATGATTGTTGATTCTTTCATAGTCTCGATTGCGCCCCTTATATAACATAATCACTTCAGAAGACAAATTCATGAAATGACCCTGGTTTAAGTTCTAATTTATCTTGGCAGGCATTATTCTTCAATTCTTCCATTTAAAGAGGTGGATCTATCTGTTAAATGTCATATAAAATAAAAATACCAATTCAAAGTTCATGACACTGATACACAGGCTCTAGTCGTGAGTGGTGCCCCATAATCATCCATTTGAATGCTGCAGATTTCCTAGTGGGAACTGAGTATATTTAGGTCCTAATCTTATGCTCATAGTCTTGTGTCAAGGATTTGATCATCAAATGGGCTCTCACTGATTTACTTTTGAAAAGTCAAGTAAAAAATATTGAATGGGCTCTCACTGATACTCACATGAGCTCTCTGATTGGTTCACGATTTTACTTTCTCATGATGAGTTTTTCATCTTTTGGAAATTAACTTGATATTCACCCTTTCCCCTCTTCCCTTTCCTTTTGAGCAGTCAAGAAGTAAAAAATCTTGCAGCCATGAGGAAGAATGCTGTTCAAAGGTCTTATAGGTAATATCATCAGCTGTCCATATTTTGTTATTCATTTAAAGACCTATCCACAAAATAGTAAAATAAAACATGTGTCTTCTTTACAGTGTCTCTCCGGCAAAGCATAGCGGGGCTTCAACTTCCAAACCGAGCAAGCCATTCAACAGAAGATTTTAGAAGCATGCCATTATCAGCATTGGCATTGTATGTAGATAATAAGAAAGAATTGGATGGTTTATTTGTGTTATCAAACGGGTTTGTGTAATTCCCTTCTACATGTATCTTCAAATCTAGCTCCTTTGCCTAGGGGTTCAACATTTGAACAGGATTGCTGTATTTTGTTCAAAATTAAACAAAATTAGTTTTTTTATTTATTTAATATCTAAACACAAGCTAAGCTTGTCTCGCCCAGAAATTGATTTTCCAGTTTTGCATCAAGATTTAAAAATAAAAACCAATTATCGTTGCCAAACGAGGATGAAGTTAAAGTAATCACAGGAAAGATACGTAATGATGTAGCAAACTAGCAATCCCTTATGTTGGGATTTTCTGAAACAAACAAATCAACCTTACCTAACTGATGCCTATATGCATTGCAATAACTCATTTATATACCAAAGCTTACACCCACTAAATGTTTACCAAACCCCATTTTTGCAAAATTAGATGATCAAAATAGCACTAGCAATGATTACCGAACAGCGATTCAAGTAAACAAATTCGATGCATTGATGAATATACACTAATAAGATCATACAGAAAGCTTCTCATTGAAAACATTAGATCATCCTCTTCCAGAGTTGTAATAAAAATAACTACGAATGTGGCAAGCCAAACATACACATAAGCTAACCTCCGCATCAGAAAATTATATCCTCATCTTTATTTGCTGCTGCAGATAACAAGTTGTGAGCCGAGTTAATTGAAATTCCTTTCTGCAAAGAAACTTTCTCAGCAAACTGCTCCTCAGAAAACTGTTTGGCAGCGGCTAATTGCCTCTCAATTTCCCTCTTCTTATAACCCTGTATCTTCTTTAAACGAAAGAAATCCTCCCTTTCGAGCTCATCCAGCTTCCCCTTAATGTAATTGATGGTATTCTCCAACCTAGGCTTAACAACATTCTCTAAAGCATTAACCCTACGATTCGTAGTTTTAATTGCCTCATCTAGTGTTAAAAAGGAAGTCTGAAGCAAAGCAAGCTCGACAAGAAGCTCAATTGCTTTGACATAAGCAGCACGACAGAGTTGAACCTGCTGGCCCCCTCTGGCTAACCCAGTAAGGTCATTCTTGGTCTCGCCTTCCGTGAAATACTCAAACTTAGGAAGCTTAACACCAGCAACATTCTCTTGTCGAGATCGAACTCTAAGAGAAGCATTTTGGACATTCTCAAGGACAATATGCTTGATGTTTTCACCAGCAACATACTTCGCTTCAGTCAAGGCAAAGGAAGAACTTTTCATAACTTCTCCCATTGATTCCTTTGTAGTAACGATCCTTTTTAAATCTGAACGAAATTGAACGTTAAAGCATCACTCTTCTCTTTCAGAAGAGCATGACCTCTTGTAGCTCCCACAAGCCTACTTTTCATAACTCCAAGCATCGTAACTGTCGGAACTACATTCAACCTCTGGCTTTGCCCAGACATCCTTTCAGATTTTCTACAACAAATAATCTCCACAAAATAAGAAAAAAAAAAATCTCTCCCCCAAACGCGCACCCCCCACCCCCCCCCCCAAAAAAAAAAAAAAAAAAAAAAAACACCCCGTGATATCATGACATTTACAGTTAATGATTATGATCCTGATATGGGTATTTCTTAATTCCAGGGCTGATTTTCTCTTCTATAAATATTTGTTTACAGTAAAAAAAAATACAGCTAAATTTAACAAATCAGTAGATAGAATCAAACAGAAAAATTCACCCAAAAGAAAAGAAAAAAAAACCATGATATGATATTTTACAGTAATGATTATGATACTCATATGGTATTTCTTACTAACAATTCAATTTTTATAATATTTATTTACAGTAAAAAAAAAAACAACAACAAACTAAATTTAACAAATAAGTAAAGAATCAAACAGAACAATTTGCTTTGATGATGTTAAGAAAATAAGAGATGAGAGAGAGACTTACTTTTTTTTTCCAGGAAGAAGAAGAGGATTGATTAATGGGTTTTCTTTCTTGTACTTGTTTCTTCAAGAACCAAATTACAAATCGAAGAACTAAACAAATACAGGCAGATCTGAACTAATAATTTAACATCAAACCCAATAAAGAACATATTTCCGGACAAAGATCTGATTGAAGATTGATTTTAACAATTATTCAGTTCAAATTATTCTCTCTCTTTTTTATTAATATTCTTTCACGATAATAAGTGAGATAAAAACAAAAATACATATATAATGCAGTGCCACGTAAGAAAAAAAAAAAAACAAAAGATACGACTTAGGCAGAACTTTCCTAGAACAGTAAATCTAAACTAATCATAGTTAATATATAATTTTTGTTATTTAACTATAGTTAAATAACAAAAAAAAAAATTGTAATATAAAAGATATAAATTTTCATATGGTTGTTAAATATGTTAAAATAACGAGAAGGGCCACTTTGTTAAATAATGGTTTATAACCGCAAGCTTAGGGGGAGTGTTGAAGTGTAAAATGGAATACAAATAATTTCCTTAATTGTGAAACAATGTTATGTTTCCTTATTCTAGGAGATTTTAGTTATTATTACAATCAAGGAAACATATTATTTGCATTCCATTTTGTACTTCAACATTCCCCATTAAGCTTGTGATTTATAACCACAAGTTTGGGTAAAAGATGAAATGTTGGTGATTATGTTAGAATTTGAGCTTTGATTGTTTGCCATTGGAAAACTTAACCGAGTATCTGTTCGAATTGCAAAGACAGAAAGAGAGGCTAGCAGAGTATTGTGCTAACCGAGTATCTGTTTGAATTGTAAGCAGAAAAAGAGGCTAGCTGAGCGGAGGCTGATTCAACCTAGAAGCTTCGATACCATGTTAAAATTTAGGTGGGTTTAACTCCTTATCCAATAAGGTCTTGTTGAATGAGATGATTACCCCCCTTCTAATAAATCGGTAGGTTTGAGCATACCTAGTCGATGTGGACTCCAACAACTTAAACGTTAACTAATAACAATCATTTGCCAAGAACGGATAAAGCTTTTGCAATGATTGTTGCTTACTTTCAAAATCTTTTCGACATTAAAGTTATGGCAAAACATTGTGAAGGCCTACTAGAGAGTGAAGTAGGATATCAAAACTTGCAAAGATATTAGAAACCAAGAGGATACAACGCGGGTTCCGATAGTTTATAATAACTACTATGTATGCAAGAAGGACAAAGTGTTATGAACTTAAGGAAAGCTTTTGATGTATATATTTATGAGATGACAACCAGATACAAAAGGAGCCAACTAAAATCGTTGTCCCCTGTTTTTTGCCAACTAGTAATGCTTCCAACGACCACCAATGGTTTACTATTATGGTAGACTATTGAATATCATTAACCTGTAGGTTCTTTTGTTCGCATTCCTATGCAATATTACCTCCTGTTGGGTGGTAAAAACATGTCGCTAAATCTTTACCGCAGGTCTCCTAAAGTGCCTCGCCACCATGAACATTTGGCAGCCTTCTAGAAGACATTTCCTTTGAAACATGTGAAGCTGTAAGGAGAAGGAAACGAGTCATCTCTCTAAGACTATATGTCAATCTGCACGTGAATTACTTCATCCTTAAGGCTGCAAGTTTTCCTCCAAGCCACGTGTCAACTCGCATGTGGATTATTTCACCTATAAACCAATCAATACAATGTCATATGCCTAATTGCATGCGAATTACTTCACACCAAATGTTACCATTGGAATACTATAAATAGAGGGTTCTCACCCCAAATCAACTTTTTCTCTTTACAATAAAATATCTCTGATTGTAAACACATCAATAAGATAACAGTGAACGTATGAATTACTTATTGTATCCAAGTCACTTTAAAAATTTCTTTTGTCCATCTCTTTATTTATTGCTATGTAACTTTGTTATTATTGCACATCATCTCCATAACAACCCACGAGTTCAATATATATATATATATATATTGCTATTTCTCGATCTTCCCTAGACTTTTTGCATAGATTCCCTTGAAGGCTTACGTACCTCTTGTTAGTGTGAAAATACGCATAAACACCTCTCATATGCAATTTTCAACTTGACGATGTAAATTAAGGAATTAAATTTCAATTAGATATTGATAGTAGTTTTATTTCATAAATTTTGGTTTATTGTTTTTCTGATTAATATTTTCTGATTATATTGATGTTAAACATTTTATTCCAAGATAAATTGCTTCACATCTATGCATTAATTAAATTGGCCTATAGAGATATTCTTGAAACAAATTCAAATAGCTAGAAAGCTATTGATAACAATATTAAAAATTATTGATGCCACTTATGTGTGAGTAGAAACAATTTTTTTAGAATCAGAAGGAATTGACAGTTGAAGCATCACTCTTTTTGAGCACTACATTCAGTCCCTGGTTTTTGCCTAGACAGCTTTTTAGATTTTCTACAAAGAGTAATCTCCAAAAAAAAGAAAAAATTGCAAAAAAAATAAAAAATAAAACCATAATATTTATAGTTCATGATTATGATACTGATATAGGATTTTTTATTTTTTTATTTCCATTTCTGACGTTCTCCCACAGAATGATTCAATTTTTAACAGCACCCCAACTAAATCAATAAATTGAAAGAAAAAAGTAAATTGAATCAAATATATATATATAATGAATGTGATATGAAATAATGAAATGTAAAAACAATTAAAAGAGAAGACTTACAAGTGGGATATGATGAAGAAACACGTTTTATTGTTGCAACTTTTATACAAAGAGTTTTCAAAGGACAACATATATATAGTCCCTCGAAAACTCTTTGTATAAAAGTTGCAACAATAAAACGTGTTTCTTCATCATATCCCACTTGTAAGTCTTCTCTTTTAATTGTTTCTACATTTCGTTATTCGTTATTTCATATCACATTCATTATTCCATTATATATATATATATTCCTTTGAAAACTCTTTGTATAAAAGTTGCAGCAATAAAACTTGTTTCTTCATTATATCTGTAACGCCCACATGAAGGTATATATATATATATATTCTTTTGAGAACTCTTTGTATAAAAGTTGCAGCAATAAACCGTGTTTCTTCATTATATCTGTAATGCCCACATGAAGGTACGTAATTTAATTTATGTTCTTATGCCTTTAGTTGATTTTTGCTAAGGTTATTTTAAGGAAAATGTGAAGAAAATGTCAATGAATCAAACAGAACAATTTGCTTTCATGATGTATAAGAAATAAGAGATAGAGAGAGAGACTTACTTTTTTTTTCCAGGAAGAAGAAGAGGATTGATTAATGGGTTTTCTTTCTTGTACTTGTTTCTTCAAGAACCAAATTACAAATCGAAGAACTAAACAAATACAGGCAGATCTGAACTAATAATTTAACATCAAACCCAATAAAAGAACATATTTCCGGACAAAGATCTGATTGAAGATTGATTTTAACAATTATTCAGTTCAAATTATTCTCTCTCTTTTTTATTAATATTCTTTCACAGATAATAAGTGAGATAAAAACAAAAATACATATATAATGCAGTGCCACGTAAGAAAAAAAAAAAACAAAAGATACGACTTAGGCAGAACTTTCCTAGAACAGTAAATCTAAACTAATCATAGTTAATAATAATAATTTTTGTTATTTAACTATAGTTAAATAACAAAAAAAGAAAATTGTAATAATGAAAAGATATAACTTTTCTTATCGTTGTTAAATTTGTGTTAAAATAACGGTAGAGGGCCACTTTGTTAAATAATGGTTTATAACCGCAAGCTTTAAGGGGAAGTGTTGAAGTGCAAAATGGAATGCAAATAATATATTTTTTAAATTGTGAAACAATATTATGTTTCTTTATTCTAGGAGATTTTAGTTATTATTACAATCAAGGAAACATATTATTTGCATTCTATTTTGCACTTCAAGACTTCCCCCTTAAGCTTGTGATTATAAACCACAATTTTGGGTAAAAGATGAAAATGTTGGTGATTATGTTAGAATTTGAGCTTTGATTGTTTGCCATTGGAAAACTTAACCGAGTATCTGTTCGAATTGCAAAGACAGAAAGAGAGGCTAGCAGAGTATTGTGCTAACCGAGTATCTGTTTGAATTATAAGGACAGAAAAAAGAGGATAGCTGAGCGGAGACTGATTCAACCTAGAAGCTTCGATATCATGTTAAAATATAAGGTGAGCCTAACTTCTTACATAATAAGACCTTGTTGAATGAGAGGATTACTCTCTCTAATAAATCGATAGGTTTGAGCATACCTAGTCGATATGCGACTCCAACAACTTAAACGGTTAACTAATAACAATCATTTGCCAAGAACGGATAAAGCTTTTGCAGAGATGATTATTGCTTACTTTCAAAAGCTTTTCGACATTAAAGTTATGGCAAAACATTGTGAAGGCCTACTAGAGAGTGAAGTAGGGATATCAAAACTTGCAAAGATATTAGAAAACAAGAGGATACAACGCGGGTTCCAATAGTTTATTAATAACTACTATGTATGCAAGAAGGACAAAGTGTTATGAACTTAAGGAAAAGCTTTTGATGTATATATTTATGAGATGACAACCAGATACAAAAGGAGCCAACTAAAATCGTTGTCCCCTGTTTTTGCCAACTAGTAATGCTTCCAACGACCACCAATGGTTTACTATTATGGTAGACTATTGAATATCATTAACCTGTAGGTTCTTTTGTTCGCATTCCTATGCAATATATACCTCCTGTTGGGTGGTAAAAACATGTCGGCTAAATCTTTACCGCAGGTCTCCTAAAGTGCCTCGCCACCAGGACATGTGGCAGCCTTCTAGAAGACATTTCCTTTGAAACATGTGAAGCTGTAAGGAGAAGGAAACGAGTCATCTCTCTAAGACTATATGTCAATCTGCACGTGAATTACTTCATCCTTAAGGCTGCAAGTTTTCCTCCAAGCCACGTGTCAACTCGCATGTGGATTATTTCACCTATAAACCAATCAATACAATGTCATATGCCTAATTGCATGCGAATTACTTCACACCAAATGTTACCATTGGAATACTATAAATAGAGGGTTCTCACCCCAAATCAACTTTTTCTCTTTACAATAAAATATCTCTGATT